GGAGAAGCAGGCTCCCCACTGAGCAAGGAGCCCAATGCGGGACTTGATCCCAGGACCCTGGGATCATGACCTGAGTCAAAGGCAGATGCTTAACCAACTGAGCCACCCAGGCGTCCCTTTATTTATTTATTTTAGAGATAACGTGCATGTGGGGGGACAACAGTAGTTTTATTTTGATCTTTTACCTTTTGAGGACTATATATCTAATTCATAGCTTTTTATTCTCTTTAGACTTAAATGGCCTTTTTTTTAAAGATATTTATTTATTTATTTGTCGGGGGGAAGGAGGGGAGAGAGAGAGAGAGTGCCCAAGCAGGGGGAGCAGCAGGCAGAGGGAGAAACAAGCTTCCCGTTGAGCAAGGAGCCCGATGCAGGACTTGGTCCCAGGGAGCATGACCTGAGCTGAAGGCAGATGCTTAACTTACTAAGCTACCCAGGCATCTCTTAAATGGCTTTTTTAATTCTTATATGTATAAGCAAGATAAGTTATTTCATCTTTCCAGTTTTTCTATGTATAATTCATGTAGATGGGAAGATATGGGAGCTCTCATGTCAAGTCTTATTTTGAAGCCTATTTTCTTTCACTCAGAATATACTTATCACTACTTTTTTCATTAAATAGCCACTTAAAAATGTTTTTAAAGAAATAGGCAATCTGAAGAAACCTGTATCTATTAAAGAAATTGAATCAAGATATTGTCTTCGCTGGGGTTCCTGGGTGGCTCAGTTGGCTAAGCGTCTGACTGTATTATTGGGCTCCGTGCCTGCTTAAGATCCTCTCTCTCCTGCCCCCCCCCCAAAAGAATTACTGACTTTGCAAAACAAAAAGCATCAGGCCCATATGTGTTCACTGGTGAATTCTACCTAATATTTAAAGAAGGAATTTAAGGAAGAAGTTACCCTAATACCAAAACCAGACAAAGACATGTAAGAAAACTATAGGCCAGTATGTCTCATGAACATAGATGCAAAAATCTTCATAAAATAGAAGCAAATCAAATCCAACAATGTATAAAAAGAACTATATGCCACACCAAGTGAGTTTTATTTCAGGTATACAAGTCTGGTTCAATTCATGTAATCCATCACATCAACAGGTGTTAAGGAAGAAAAATCACATAATCATATGAATAGATAAAGAAAAAGCATTTGGCAAACTCGAACACTTAAGATAAAAACTCTCAGTAAATTAGGAATAGAGGGGAACTTCCTCAACTTGATAAAGAACCTACAGGTAACATCATATTAATAGAACCTCAGAGGTTTTCTGATCAGGAACAAGGAAAGTGTGTTCTCATCATGTCTTTTAACATTGTACTGGAATCCTACCTAACGCAGTAAGGCAAGGAAAGGAGATAAAAGTTACACCGATTGGGAAGGAAGAAATTGGTCTTTGATTGGAGATGACATGATCATCTATATAGAAAATCTGAAAGAATTGACAGACTCATGGAACCTAGTGAAGACAGCAAGGTTACAGGATACAATGTTAATGAAAACTCATTTTCTTTTCTATATATCAGTATTGAACACATGAAATTTGAAATTTATTATTTTTAAAAAATAATAGCATGAGCAGGGTGGGGCAGAAGGACAAGCAGACTCCCCGCTGAGTGGGGAGCCCAGTGCAGGGCTTGATCCCAGGACCCTGAGATCATGACGTGAACTGAAGTCAGATGCTTAACTGACTGAGCCACCCAGGCACCCCTGAAATTTGAAATTTAAAATACAATACCATTTATGTCAGCAGTATAAAAGTGAAATACTTGGGTATAGATCTTCATATTTTGTTAAATTTCTATGAGGAAAGTTGTAAAACTCTGATGAAAGATACCAAAAAACTAAATAAATGGAGAGAGATTCCATGTTTATGGATAGAACATGTGAAAATGTAAAGATAACAGTTCTTCCCAACTTTGATCTATAAATTCATTGAAATCTCAGTCAGAATCCTGGCAAGTTATTTTCTGGATATCAACAAAATAACTCTTAACGTTTATTTGGACAGACAGAAGACACATAATAGCCAAGACAATATGGAAAGGAAAAGAATAAAGTTGGAGGACTGATGCTGCCCATCTTCAAGATGTACTGTAACATTGCAGTAATCAAGACAATGTGGTATTGGTGACATAGATCAATGGAACAGAATAGAGAGCTCAGAAATAGACCATCTAAGTATAGTTAGTTGACCCTTGTCAGAAAAGCAAAGGCAATACCATGAAGCAAAGATAGTCTTTTCAGCATTGAAGCAATTGGACAACCACATGCAAAAGAAAGAATCTAGACACAGACCTCATACACTTCATAAAAACTAATTCAAAATATACACACAAACATAAAATGCAAAACTATATCACTCCTAGCAGATAGGAAAAAACCTAGATGACCTTGTGTATGGCACTGACCTTTGGGATGCAACACCATGATCCATGAAAGAAAGAATTGATAAGCTGGAGTTCATTAAAATTAAAAACTTGTGCTCTGTGAAAGATAATGTCAGGAGAATGAGAAGATAGCCATAGGCAGGGGGAAAAATATTTGCAAAAGATATGTCTAATGAAGGACTGTTAATCCAGAATTTACAGAGAATCATGAAATTTAACAGTAAGTACATGAACAATCTGATTAAAAAGTATGCCAAAGATTTTCTCAGCCGTCTTGCCAATAGAAGATACACAGATGACAAGTGCGTGAAAAGATGCCCTAATATCCTCTTTAGTCAGGGAAATGCAAATTAAAACATCATTGAGATTCCACTGCACGTCTGTTAAACAGTCAACATTCAGAATACTGATAACACCAAATGCTGACAAGGATGTGGAGCAACAAGAACTCTCATCTGTTGCTGATGGGAGTGCATTCCACTTTGGAAGGCAGTTTGGCAGTTTCTTACAAAACTCAACATACTCTTACCATAGGCCTCGCAGTTGTGCTCCCTGATATTTACCCAGAGAAGTTGAAAACTTATATCTACACAAAAACCTGCACACAGATGTTTATAGCAGCTTTATTCATAATTGTTGGAACTTAAACCAATGGGATATTTCTAAATGAAGCAAAATAGAGAAATTATGCTGAGTGAAAGAAACCAGATTAAAAATTACGTAGTATATCTTTTTTTACACATGAAATTCTAGAGAATGAAACTGTAATAACAAAGCAGATCACTGAGGAGTGTGGTTGTGGGGACTGGAAAAGGGATGGATGACAGGCTTAAAGATACTTTTTGGGTTAATGTGTATGTTTGTTATCTTGATAGTAGTGATGAATTCATAGATGTATACTAAAGCTTAAATTCATCAAACTGTGTACTTTAAGTGTGTTCAGTATATTACATGTCATGTATATCTCAAAGGTGTAAATGACAACTGATAAACTCACACTTATTGGTAAAACTAATAAAATAGGTTAACTTCTATGCCAGTGAGTTATTAATTCTAAAAGAGAATTGGTAGCTCTTCTTAAAAAATGAAGGGTAATCTACAAGTGTTGTAAGATGTTTACTTTTTGAAATGGAGAATGAGATGTTGATAAATGTAACTAAGTTGTTCTGCACAATCAATTGATATATTTAGGGATAACTTAATTACCTTAATCACCTTATTAATATCAGGCAGGGGACTTTCAGTTTGGCTTTTAGAGAATTTTTTTTTTTTTTTAACCCTTTTGGTAACCTATTTTTCTGATGTTATCTTATTGTAGAGGGCATATTGGGAAACCTTCCCTGAATGCTGAAATGTCTACTGTGGAAATTAAAAAGTGGGAAGGCAAAGTCTTAGAATGAGAAAATATGTTGCTTATTGTTACACTTGGTATTTTTACCCGTGTACTCCTTATCTTTCCATATTTGTCTTTGCTTTATAAATTCAGGCAATATTACCATTTCTTTTAGTTTTTTTTTTAAAATTAATATTTATTTATTTTAGAGAGAGAGAGAGAGCACGAGCAGGAGGGGCAGAGGGAGAGGGAGACAGAATCTCAAGCAGACTCCATGTGGAGTGTGGAGCCCAACCCAGGGCTCAGTCCCATGACCCTGAGATCATGACCCCAGCCAAAGCCGAAAGTCAAGACACCCAACCCACTGCGTAGGCTACTCAGGCACCACTCTTTTAATTGTTCTTCGTGGTACTCTAACCAGTTAATTGTTTATAATCACTTCTTTATAATTTGTTTGTGGTCAAATTTAAGTTTTGTGGGGCACCTGGCTGGCTCAGATGGTGGAGCATGTAGCCTGTGACTCTTGATCTCAGGGTCATGAGTTCAAGCTCCACATTGGGCATGGAGCGTACTTAATAAATAAATAAACTCACCTTTAAAAAACATTTAGGTTTTCAACTGAATCTGCCTTTTTGGCTTGGGAAAAAATGATATTAATAATTTTTTTAACGTGTTAACTGTTTTTATTATTTGACTTTAGGTCCATTGCAAAAGAACTTGCAGACTGGCTTATAAGCAACAATGTGGTAGAGCATATATTTGGACCAAATTTACATATTGAGGTTTGTGGACAATTACATGACTTCTCTGCTCTATTAAGAGAACAGTACTTTAGAAAATTAGCTATAATAAGTTTTTCTTTTCCAGATTATCAAACAGTGCCAAGTGATTTTGAACTTCTTGGCAGCGGAAGGGAGACTGAGTACTCAGCATATTGATTGCATTTGGGCTGCAGCACAGGTAATATTAAAAGCACACATTTATTAAGTGCTTCCTTATTATTTGTTCTAAGTGTTTTATTCCCTTATGAGGTAAGTTCTCTTATCCTAAGTTTATAGCTAAATAAACCGAGACATAGAAAAAGTTGGGCATGGATCTGTGGAGTCTGGCTTGAGAGTCTATGTCTTACTATATTACGGGTAGAATTGAAGGAAATGAGAGTCAGTCAACTGGACATTCTACATGAAACCATCTTGGTTTATTAAGAGACATTTACCTATTATTTTTTTGTTGATATAGTAAACCTTTCTATCCTGAATGTTGTATTGGTATTTTTCTTTCCTCTTATACTGTTTTCTCTAGTTTTTTGAATAAGCATATATCTACATGGTTCAAAATCCAAAAAATAAATATAAAATATATGTTATGTATTCTCCCCCCCGGGTCCCTGTTTCCCAGGAATACCATTCTTCTGAGGTGCATCATAGATTTTCTACATAAATAGCTGACTTGAAAGCTTTTTTTCTTTTTTTTTTTTTTTTTTGGTCCTCTTTATTACAAATGTTGCATGCTAAGTGGACTTGGCTTTTTTTCATTTATTTATCGTCAAGATTATTGCATATCAGTATATAAAACACCAATGTTTTAAAGCGGGCATAGTGTTTTAGTACATGCATGTATGGTAATTTATTTAACCAATTCCCATTCATAGGCATTATTTTTTTCCCAGTCTTTTCTGTTATAAACAATGCTAAAATAAGTTTTAACATGTTCATTTCATCTGTGTGCAAACGATTTATCTTTTAAGGAGAATTGTTTGGTTAAAGCATCTGTTCGATTTACTTGTGGTACATAATGGTGTGATAATGCCTGTTTTCCCTCATCTTCCTCAGTATGTTGTGTCCTTAAACTTCTTGATATTTGCTAAACTGATGGGTGAAATGTGTATTTTAAATTTGCATTTTGTTTATGTGAATCAAATTGCAAATTTTGTGTTTAAGAGCCATTTTTTTTTCCTTTACTGGGAGTGTCTGTTGATATTCTTTGTCATTTATCAGTGATTTTACTTTACTTCTTTTTTGTAGGAGACCTTTATATATCCGTGAAATTGGACTTGTGTCTGTGTTAAGAGTTATTTTCTACTTTGATGTCTTTTGGTTAAGGTGGTTTTTGGTGTTCAGTTTCAAGTTTGTGGTTTCAAACTTGTGGTTGAATTTGTTTTATGTCCTGTGGATTTTTCTTATGGTGTGAAATGCCTCTTCCACTCTAAAGTTATAAGAAAGTTCTCCTTTAGTTCCTTCCTGTTTCAATTTTATATTTTAGTCTTTTTTTTTTTTTTAAGATTTTTATTTGAGAGAGAACTAGAGAGAGAGAGAGCATGAGCACGGGTGGGGGTGGAGCAGAAGGGCAGAGGGTGAGGGAGAAGCAGCCTCCCCTCTGAGCAGAGAGCCCGACATGGGGTTTGATCCCAGGACTCTGGGATCATGCATAACCTGAGCCGAAATCAGACGTTTAACTCAGTGAGCCACCCAGGCGACCCTATATTTTAGTCTTTGATCCATTTGGAGTTTTTCTTGGTTCAAGATGTCATTTATCTAACTTTTTACCCATTTTTTTTGTTATGTAGTTGTCCCCATTCCACTTGTTCAGTAATTCTTCTTTTCCTTATTGAATTGAGATACCAGTTTCATTTTGACTAGGTCAGTTTCTGGAGTCTGTAGACTGACCTATCAGTATATCCAGTCATGATCTGTATACCAGGGATTGGTAAACTTTTGGCTTGGTAAACAAGGCTTTTGGGGCTGGCCACTTCATTTTGTAAATATTTTTTGCAACATGGCCTTGTACTTTCTTTGACATACTGCCTGTGGCTACCTCCATACTGCAGTGGCAGAGTATAGTACTTGTATATTTATATAGTATATATAATACTTACCACTTTAAATCCTGAAACATTTACTGTCTGGCCCTTTAAGAAAACATTTGCTGATCATGGGTTTATACTAATGTCTTTACTTTTTTTTTTTTTTTTTTGAGTATTTGTTCATATCTGGCAGGGCTGGTTCTTTTTTATATATTTTTAAAGAATTTTTCTGGGAATGCCTGAATGGCTCAGTTGGTTAAGCATCTGCCTTCAGCTCAGGTCATGATCCCAGAGTCCTGGGATCGAGTTCTATGTTGGGCTCCTTGCTCAGCGGGGAGCCTGCTTCTCCCTCTGCCTGCTCTGCCTGCAGTTCTGCTTGTGCTCTCTCTCTCTCTCTGACAAATAAATTCTTAAATAAATTCTTAAAAAAATAAAGAATTTTTCTGTTTTTTCATGTAAATATTAGCATTGACTTATTCTTTAAAAATATTGTAATTTTAATTGTAATAATGGTGAATTTGAAGAGAATCAAAGTTGTCTTCCGGTCCAGAGCTTAACACTGTTTATTTTCTTCTGTATCATTCAAAATTTTAAAGTTCCTTGTATATAAGTTTTATTTTATATTAAGCTTATTCTTAGGAATTTCAGTTATATTATTGCTATAATAATAGCCATTTTTCCCATTATACTTACTTTGTCCATTATATTTCTCTTTTTTCCATTATAGTCGATTACTTCATATATATATATTTTTTAAGATTTTATTTATTTATTTGAGAGAGAAAATGAGATAGAGAGAGAGCATGAGAGGGGGGAGGGTCAGAGGGCGAAGCAGGCTCCCCACTGAGCAGGGAGCCCGATGCGGGACTCGATCCTGGGACTTCAGGATCATGACCTGAGCCGAAGGCAGTGCTTAACTAACTGAGCCACCCAGGCGCCCCCGATTACTTCATATATTCATACACTTTTTATATGAACAGTTTCAAATTTTTGATAATAATTATGCATCTCGAGACCTTACATCTTAGATTGGTTGTGGTAATTTTTCAATACCTTTTCTTACTTCCCATATTTAATACTGTATATTTATACATTACTGTCATTTCAGTAAAGAAGCACTTTCAGAACAAAGGGAAATTTTCTGAAAATTTTATGCATTTTAGTAGATTTAAAATTTTTATTTTGTTCAGAGCAAGACTAGGAGAATAGAATAATGATAAGTGTATCATTACAGAATAAATAGCTAGGAATAGTGGAGCATTCTTTATTGAAACTGAAGTTCATCAAATTGGTAACTGGTAGTATGGCCTGTTAAAGGTTTTAGCATTTTGCCCTAGCAAGAATTTGAAGTGACCTAGTAAGGGAGTAATTAAAAATTGTGGCATAATCTATGATACAGTTTGCAAAAACTTAAAATATCTATAAAAGATTATATAAAATAAGTATATTTTCAGGTTTAATTTAATTGGGACTTTCTGCGGTTTGTTACTACTTTACTTCTGAAGCTACCACAAATTTAGAATTATCAGGAATTTTTACATTTTGAGTTTTTTAAGAATTTGAGTGCTAAATGTAATTAATTTCAAAGTCTGGGGTTGGTTAGTTTCATACAGTTTTACCTTAGTCTTTTTTCCTCCCACGTGGAGTAAGTTTTTGAGGTCACTTTGCTCCCTGAGATACACACACACACACACACACACACACACACTTCACTCATAGTAATTGGATTGGCTGCTGCTTTTTTCATTGTTTGTATCGTAACTCTTATATTGGAATCCAAGGAGAAAATAGCAAAAGTGACAAATGGATTTGAAATTGATAGAAAAAGTATTTATAAATTTTTGAAAAATGCTTATCTTTGTGATTAAATGTAAGTTCAAATAATGTAATGGCATTTTCATTTATTGGGTAATTCCCATTATGTTTAGTAATGCGTTATATTGACCACAGTGTGGTATAGCTTTTGGGAAGCAATATAGCAGTTCTATTTCTGTAATTCTGTATATACATGTACACGAGGATGTTCGCTACAGCATTGACCATATAGCAGAAAAGGAATGTCACTGTAGGACTATTTTAATAAGTTTTGGGAAATTCATATAATAGTATCCTTTGTAGTCATGAGAAGGACTGAAGGTGCTGTATTGTGTTCACGTGGAACAATATGTACAAAACAGTTTTACTAAACACTGCATAGGTAATCTTTTATTGAGAGAAAATCCCATATATACGGTGTATTCTCCCAATGTGTATTTAAACAGTTATAAAAAGAGGCTGCATCTATATATATATATATGTATATGTATTACATGTATATACATGCAGTGTGTGCTTATGAATGCCTGGAACTATTTGGAAAAATATAGAAGAAATTTTAATAGGTTTATTTGTGGGTAAGTGATCTGGGATAGATGGAAGACTTCCTTTTTATTGTCTATGCTTATGTAAACTTTGAAACTTTTACGTGTGTATATTAGTTTCTCAGTAAATACAGAGACTAGTATATAAAGTAAATATTTTGACATTTAAATGACTCTCTGCCATTTAAAGTTACCTATTCTGGTTTGATTTGGTTACCTTTATATTTCCCTCTTACAGACCCTTTCACTGTAAAATGTTTTAGTCATAGGACATCAAAAAATACCTTCAGAATCCTTGCATTCTATTAGAATTTATTGTTAAATGCTTTCCAGATTTGAACGCTTGTATAAATGCATGTAAATTACTGAATAATAATTTTATCTTAATATAGAGCTAAGTTTTTGGGGAGAGATCTTTGTGTCAGTGACAAAAGTCAGATTCTCTAGGATTTAGTAGGACATAAATGTCATCTGATTCAGATGTGCTTTATGCACATAATTATCATTAGATTCTCAAAAGGATTAGTGATGACTAATTTTAGAAGCTTATTCCCATATGAGTGCTTATTAGCTTCAGCATGTGACTTGTATACACATTTAGATTACTGCTTTATGAGACATGCTGCTAGCATGTGAAGTTATGACTCTACTTGAGTTAGAATCTGGGCACTGTAATATCCTTCTGTGTTACATCTTAGAGATTTGAATTCTTTCCTTCCTGCCTTTTTAGGAGTTCTTAACATGAGATGTGTGCTTTTTTTATGTTGTTGGGTGTCTTCATGTATGCCTTTGTTACCCGTTCATATTTAGGAAAGATGACTAGATAAGTGGTCTAGGTATTCTTGGCTGTTGTGAAATATTTTTTTATTA